TTACATCTGTCAACGTCATATCGATATATAGTTCTGAATCGATCTAGTGAATTCATATTTCACCCTAGAGAATCGAGATCGAATCTTTTACTGTTTTATTAAGAACTATAAAATTATTTACAATTAGTTGAAACTCGTAGGGAATGACAGTTTTTCAATTCAATCACTCAATATTATCTCTACTTTATTGTATCTTCTGATATTGTAAATATAAACTCTTAACGCAAATTAAAAAAAGATCGATTTTCGCATAATCGGTCTTTAAGATTTCGATTTTTTGTGAATCGCTTCATCCCATTTCGATTCGAATCGATTTAAAAATGTATAAAATTAATCGCTAGGCCGGCCATTTTGTGGACAGCTTTACGTCATGCCGTTATGCAGTTGCTTGAGAGTTTCAGAATTTTGATGAATAGTGGAATATTTGTAGCGGCGGAATACTGCTAAATATCGCAGTGATCTTTTCTTACAAATGGTGGCAGCCATAAATTTTTGTAGTTTGGTGTTATATTGAGTGCAATAGCGCAACACGTTAAGTGGGGTGGGGCTTCGTCCCCCAACTTTCTCTCCACATATATCAGGTTAAAATTGTCATAAAAATTACAAAACAACCTCTAAACGAGATTTTTAAAAATTTATAAAAAAAAGGGTAAACTATAGACGTCCGGTACTCGCGTACGGTGTTGGGAGGGGTGGGGGGAGGGGAGGGATCAATGGAAGCCCCCCGGCCCTCCCCCGGTGCGGAAATGTATAGTTTATGAGTAATATTTTTTTTGTAAAATTATAACCTCACTTTTTTATACAGAAATATTGACACAAAGTTACTTCGGCAATGGTCGTAAGGTGTTGGAAGGTGGGAGAAGGGAGGAGGAGGGTCATGGGAAGCCCCCATCACTTTCCCCCGTTGCGGAAATGTATAGTTTATGAGTAATTATTTTTTTTATTATAAAATCATAACCTCACTTTTTATACAGGAAAATTGACGCAAAGTTACTTCTGCAACGGTTTCGGCACTGCGGGAAGTGCAGCCCCTTCGCCCTTGCGTAGCAAATCGCAGGCACCTAAGTGAGCCGTAGCGGCTGAGGCTGGTCGCCTTCGGAATAAGCCGAAGCTGCGGAGGCGAGAAGTACTTGCAAGTTCCTAACCCAGTACAGGGGTCCTTGCGACTGATTTAAAACGTATCATTGTAAATCAATAAATCGTTTTTCATTTTTTTCGAATATTTATAGATAGTCTAGTTGCCCTAAACTCTGCTATGATAGCGGCAAATGAAAAAATGTGATATGAATTGTTATAATTTTGTTTTCTGAAAACCTCTTGACTGCTCTCTGTAGTAAAACATACGCCAGTTGGTTTGACACTGACTTTATTTCTATACTCTATACCTATACATTATACTACATCTTTCCATTTCTAAAATAATTTTATAAACAATAATAAAATTATAAACAAAAATAACTATAAGAAATTTTCTCCTATTATATGTATATTTAAAAAAAAAAAACAATGTTTGACCTACTAATTATTTTGTATTATTATTATTTTTCATTTTTTTTTTTCGGCCAACATTCGTGCAGTCCGTTGCTTGGACCTTTTTATGTTCACTATTGGTGATGGTGGTTAAGAAACACATTCTGTAAATGCTCTATCAGTACCAGGAGTAGTAGGAGTACTGGACCGTGATGACGGCGCTCCGTCTGTCTGCGGACACACTTGATAGTCTGCCTGAGTCTCGGACCCAACCTTTCGTCGACGTCGTACGCCCCAGGAGGCAATCGTACTTTTGTCTAGAATACGGGACTGAAACTCTGCAGTACTGGATGAAGTCCGAGACAACCTTGGTTTCCCATAATCCTTGGAGCGTAAAATAAGATGGCTACGAGTACGTCGGAACCGTTTCCCTTGTTCATCTTCAACTATAAAAGACCTTGGCTCCTCGGCACGAGCTACTACTGAAACAGGTTTCCTACCAGCATTACATAATAAAGTAGCTTTATCGCCTACCGATAAACGCTCAAGTGACTTCGTGGACTTATCGTATTGTTTTCTAATCTTTTCTCTATGAGCCATCAAAGATTGGTAATTGGGATCGTTATCTACTGTAGCTCTTAATAATTTTTCAGAAATTGGCAGTTTCGTTTTTATCCGTCTCCCCATAAGCATCTGTACCGGAGAATCTAAACCATTGCGAGGCGTCGACCTGAAATTTAATAGACTTAAATAAAATTCTTCGCCTGAGTCTACGCATTCCTTTAGTAAACTTTTTATAGTTTGGACAGTTCTTTCACTTTTTCCATTAGACTGGGAATAGTGGGGGAATGAGGTAACGTGATCTATTTCCCATTCATTCAAAAAATTCTGAAATTCTTTCGACCTATAGGCCGGCCCATTGTCTGTCACTATTTCAGCGGGTATACCGTGTCGAGCAAACTGCGTTTTCATAAATTTATAACATGTTTGCTACCGATACCGGCTAACTCCTCGACTTCAACATAATTCGAAAAATATATTTCTTTCTTTTATATTCAAATATATCGGAAGCCAGTTTTTGCCAAGGCAAATCCGGCACGTGATGTTGCAAGAGCGGCTGGCGACGGGGGCGCGGCGCGTGCAACGCGCACGCCTTACAGCGGCGCGCCACGCGCTCCACTTCCGCGCTCATGCCCGGCCAGAATATAACTTCGCGCGCACGCCTCTTACACCGGTCGACCCAGGTGACCCTCGTGCATGCGCTCTAACATTTGCTCCCGTAACCTACGCGGAATGAACACACGGTCTCCCTTAAAAATCAACCCGTCGACATACGACAGTTGCTCTCGATATGGCCAAAATACACTAACGTTGTCACTCATATCGCGCCTATGTTTTGGCCATCCGTTTTTAATATACGTTATTAATAATTTACAGTCACTATCCGTTTCGGTGTCCTTTATAATAGACTCTATTTTTGATAGACTGAATGGTATGTTCTTTAGGATAAAACAGGTTTGTACATTGACCTCATCAGATACATAGTTCTGCATTAACTCACCCAGAGGGGCCCGCGACAGAGTATCCGCAATATACATGTACTTGCCCGGTGTATATATAACTTTGATATCGAACCCTTGCACTCTTAACATCATACGCTGTAAACGTATCGGTACTGAAGTTAACGGTTTTTTAAATAATGCTTCCAGTGGTTTATGATCAGTGTGAACTGTAATATCTGACCTACCGTATATGTACTGCCTAAACCGTTCGACAGCAAAAACTATCGCGAGCATCTCTTTCTCAATTTGAGCATATCTAGTCTGTTTGTCTGTCAACGTTAGCGAAGCAAATTCTACCGGTCGCTCATTCTGTAGAAGTACAGCTCCAATCGCGACGCTGCTGGCGTCCACCGACAATACCACTGGCGCTTCCGTCGAATAAATCGCTAACACCGGAGCACTCGCTATTTTTTCTTTTAATTTATCGACAGCCTCAGAATGGTAAGCCTCCCACACCCACTCGGCATCTTTCTTTAATAAAGACCGCAACACATTCACATATTCAGAGTAACTTTGAATGAATTTTGATAAATAATTTACCATTCCTAAAAATCGTTCTAGAGATTTTTTGTCCGTTGAATAAGGCATGTCCAATATAGCCTTTACCTTTGAATCATGGGCTTTCATTCCATTAGCGTCAAATTTGTGACCTAAATAAGTTATTTCAGGAACACTGAATTTGCATTTGTCGCGGTTAAATTTAATACCTACATCTTGGGTACGCTTTAATAGAGCTTCTAATCGTTGATCGTGTTCATGCTGAGTTGATCCGTACACAATTACGTCGTCGATGAACGATTCGACACCTTCGAGGTCTTCCAAGTGTTGTCTGAGCTTTGCATGAAAAACTTCTGGCGCACAACTTATGCCATATGGTAAGCGCAAAAACTGGTACCTACCGAAGGGCGTGCTAAACGTACAAAGGTCAGCACTAGCGTCATCAATTTGCACCATCCAAAACCCACAGCGAGCGTCGAGCACGCTGAACACCCGCGCGCCATGCAGCTTCACCGCCAGTTCTGTCACTGTGGGCAGCGAGTACTGCGCGCGGCGCACTGCTCGGTTAAGCGGTCTAGGTCTAGACAAACACGAATGCTACCGGCCTTCTTAGCCACTAAAACAATTGCATTTATCCACTCTGTCGGATGTGTGACCTTTCTAACAACACCGAGTCCTTCCATTCGTTTTAACTCTACTAATAACTTGTCTTTCATACCTAGAGGTATTTTCCTAGTGGGAGAAATAACGGGTGGAACACTTTTATCCACTACAATACTGTATTTGCCAGGTAACATGCCTAAACCTTTAAACAAACTCGAATGAATTTCAATATTTATTGCATTGATACAATTAATTACACCCATCGTAATACAACTTTCTAATCCGAGTAGATTTTGACAACATGAATCGGTGACAATAAACGGCAATACAAATTGTTTTTTATTATAAACTACGTTTAGTTTTACAAGGCTAAGACAGGTAGCCTGTCTCCTGTGAAGGAATACACTCTCTTTGAAAACGGACGAAGTTGTTTAATCGATAAGCCAATACGTAAATATTAACTCTTGGAAATAACATTCATCATAGAACCAGTATCAGAACCAGGACAACTCCGTGGCGCAGTGGCTTAGCAATGGGTGGCTGCGCTGGGGGCCGCGGGTTCAAATCCCGCACGGACAAATATTTGTATGGCTTACAAATAGTTGTTCCGTGTCTGGATGTTTGTCCTTGTGCAATTTATGTTTGTAAACTGCCCCCACGATACAGAAGAAAATCCTAGTGTAGGGGTAACGTTTAAAAAAAAAAATCTATTTTAACTAAAAGTTCTTTGTTATTACATTTCACGCTTTCGAACCATTTTTTAGTCGACTTACCGCATTTTGCCCTCGCTTACGGTATCAACATAGAACATTTCCGAGTCACTATCATTTTCCGCAGAATCCAAACTCAAATTATGTACTTTTTTTACTACACCCTTTTGTTTACACATCCGTGAAAAATGACCTTTTTATCACACACAAAACATCTGGCTTGACGTGCCGGGCACTTATAGCCGCCAGCACAGCGCACGCACCCGCAGCGCACGCATGGCTCCGCCGCCGCCGGCGCGGCTTGTGCTGCACCAACCGCGCGCCCCCCTCTGGACGTGGACGCGGTCTGCGTTCGACCCCTGCCGCTGCGCCAACCGCGCGCCCCACGGCGGTTACCTTGAACTGCATCCACCTGACCGCTCTCCGCCTCGTTGCTGTCGATACACAGACTTTCTTCCTTAGAAATTTCTGCCGCTTGACATATTTGTATCACTTTCGATAACATCAAATCGTCTGTACGAAGTAAACGATCCCTGTTCGTGTTATTCACTATTCCGCAAACAATTTTATCTCGCAGCAGGCTCTCGTGCAAATCACCGAATCAGTACTCGCAAAGCGGTCACATATTGGTCGATATTTTCTCCATTCTCTTGATTTCGCGAGAAGAATTTGAGCCTTGTTACTGTTATATTCGGTTTAGTACCAAAATAACTATCGAAATTCTTCAAAACGCAATTGATATCATCTTCGCTTTCCCCCTCTTCGAAAGTAAAAGTTGTGAACACCTCGTATCCTGCCGAGCCGATGAGGTTAACCAACAAACTAGCCTGAATCTCTTTAGGCTCTTTGCTCACTCCAGATGCTTTTAAGAACACTTCGAATAGTCGTCGCCATTGACGCCACGCTTCGGCCCGGACGGCTGACCCGCCTTCGAGTGATAATTCCGCTGGAGGACGCGCGTGTTCCATGATATTTATTATAAAATACACACAAAACTGCTTTATAATAAACTAAATACACGTATTATTGGTGGATTCGCAAATAAATTAAATTTTTGAGATCCCACCGCTGTCACCATGTAGTAAAACACACGCCAGTTGGTTTGACACTGACTTTATTTCTATACTCTATACCTATACATTATATTACACTCTCCACTGAGACTCAATTTGTTGTATATAAGTCCCGTCTCCAGCCACAAATGAATTATCTTCGTCCGAGTCATTAACTTTTTTATGAGAGAGTATTTCTCATGTGTATCTGTGTTAAAAAAACAAATTGTCGTATTTACGTTTCGTTCTTGCAATTTTTAGTGAAATTTATTTTTATCGTAATTAATTCAAAAGGCATTTCCGAAATCCAAAAAGAGTGTGAATGCTTCAAGCTTAACGCTGAAAATTTAGGAGAAATTGAAAACAAAATTAAAAAATCAAGTACCGGACATCTACTTCATAATACGCGAACTAATTGACATATTTGCGTTTCGTTATTACACAATTTTTAGTGAAATTTGTTTTTATCGTAATTAATTCAAAACGCATTTCCGACATCTAAAAAGAGTGTATTAGGTTCAAGCTTAACCCTAACAAGCCTGCTAGACTAAAAACATTATCAGAATCAAGTACCGGATGTCTATAGACAACCCAAAAAAACTAAGCACGTCCGGCAGGAAAGGGAAGTAGAGGGTGACTCTACAAATCCTCCCCTCCCCCCACACCACCCTAATTCTGATGACTTAATTGTAAACCTTACCCGCAAATTTTTTTAATCTAGATTATTTTTATAAAGATAAACTAATTAAGGGGAAATATAACCTCAAATGGCTTAGCAAGATCCTCCGTTATGCCGAAAATATTGCAAAATTAATTTTGAAATAGATATATGATAAAGTTGAGGATTAATGTTAAGGACTATGTTAGACGAAAACACGATTCCGTAAAATTTTCTCTATAGAAAAAAAATCCAAAGTTACCTCCAAACTGAACAATAAACCGCTGTTATTCCTAAAATACTTTAAATAAGATCATGAAACTTTGCATACTAACTGAACTAACTATAAATCAGTGCTTATGTTATTTACTTTTTTTTAAAATACCATTATTTTCACTGTAAAAAGAAATTACCTAAACTATTGGCGCCTTGAAGCTTGATTCTTGTCGCCCCGTTAGTATGGCTCCGGCTTTTGAAGGGAGGAGTTGTGTGGCTTACGATCGGAATACACATTACGCAACAGGACGACATAAAATTTAAATGGGAAATAACCGTGATAAAAATAAGAAGCGACTGGGTTGGCATAAATATGATAAACCTAATGAAATAAGTATCTAACGACCTATCTACTTACAGTATTAGTGATTACAAACATGTCGGTACATAGCATACGACGCGCGGGCAAGTGGGGACGAAATTAGAATTTGAGCTGACTTACTATATCCCCTTAAAGGAAATACCAGAATGTTTAGCCTTGTTTGCAAAGCTAAACAGACTGTTTACTTTATAATTTGTTATCAGTGTTGCTTGACCTCACCGCACGCGCGACGGTGTAATGACGTCGTTCATCGGATACAGTGTTGCCATATATACAGATTTCCCCGTATTTATACAGATTTTCGTTGTGTGATACAGATTAGCACTGGATACACATTTTTATATAGAGTTTTCTAACTCTATTGATTGGGTTACCATAATATTCAACTTAAAACAGAACGAAGAAAAATAAGTGACTAGATACCGCGTCACACACATCATTGCATAATTCTATTCTTTATAGTTAATTTATTTTTCCACAACGTAATTAGTTAGTACGGTAGAATTACAAATGTATAATATAATATGTATATATATATAATATGTATGATGGAAAATAATAAAATAATTATATGTTCCTTTGATGCAAATGTTTGAGTTTTAATACGTTGTTTGCTTAAATTAATGTTTTCAATTTTGCTATATAAAAAATTTAGTGTATTGTATATTTTATACTTGGTAGAGCCACGCTGCAGCTAAGTAGATAGCCGTTCTCTATATCCTTGCCAAAACCAAAGAAATTGTTAATAGCTCTTTTTTTGAAAAAAATTTGAAAATTTGATTTACCGAATTGTAGGTTACTCGGCGGTTAAGAAAAAATTATAGGCACACCTTAAAAATTTATAAATAATTTGCATATTATACTTTTTTACTAAGATATTAGGATTTATATATATTTTTATAAATATTTATTACGTTATTCTTTCTTTATTTTTGTTTCCTGCATTTAGGTACAATTATATCATTATAGAACACTATTTTTCATTATTGAATTACAAAAATGCCCTTGTTTATTCAACGCCACCAATGAACAAATTCGTAGGTACCTATATTTCGTACCCATACTTCAGAATATTAATCACAACTTTTGATAGGATGAACCGATTTTAATAAAGCAAAGACTAATCTTATCAATTAATCCGTTGGGCAATGTCGGTTATTGTGTTTCTACTGTTAATAAGTAATAAAAGTCACCAACCTAGACAATGAAACGCGTATACTATTGATAAAGTTCAGGCACCAGACCAGTGTTGCCAGATGCAGATAAAAGGTTCAATTACCTGTATTAGAAACTGCTAAAATCTGTATTAAATCTGTATGCTATTTAAACTTAAAATCTGTATAATTTAATAAACCAAAATAGAATAATCGATCATTATCATCATTGTTGTTTTTGAAAAATTTATATATGTAAATTTATTTATATATGTGTATGTGTATTCCGATCGTAATGTCGCCTCTACACGTTGGCCAACACAGTGGCGAATGGAGTGGCGAATATATTGGCCGAGAGTTGGTGACGGCGTCCACACGTTGGAAGGTCATTCAGTTTACTTCGGTTAGGGCCAATGTGCGGACGAATTTATAAGCACCGTGGCGCAGTGGCTCAGCAATGAGTGGCTGCGCCGAGCGCCGCGGGTTTGATCCCGCACGGAACAAGTATTTGTATGTCCTACAAATAATTGTTTCGGGTCTGGATGTGTGTCCTTGTGCAATTTATGTTTGTAAACTGCCTGCGCGATACGGGAGAAAATCCTAGTGTGCGGTTAACGTTTTTATAAAAGAATTATAAAATAATAGTGGTTATTAATGGGGCTGTAAATAGATATACGATATACAATTAGCTTTATTTATTTTTTACATGCATCATAAACTGGAATAAATACCATTAATAAGAACTTAACTTATTTTAAAGTTAAAGGAGTTATAATCGATTAGACTATGTTTTAAAATTGGGTTTTGATTTTAAAGTTTAGCAAAATATGTACCTACTTGCATTTCTATCAGACATTTGATGTATATAAAAAAACACCATATAATTTATTTGGTAATTTAATTATTTTTTGAGAAAGACAAAAACAATAGCAATAAATATAATTAACATTGACTTAATAATAGGTACTAATTATAACTTAGAACATAAATGAAAAACTCATGACGAGCAAAGTGGCTCAGGACCATGCTTTGCGGCTGTCTGTGGAGAAGGATGTTCAGTAGTTGACTTGTGAACAGCCGAACGAGCCGACCCATTCGTGCTACAACTGTACTTCTAATATAACTGCATGGTTCTACCACATATAAACGATGTGCTTCATTTTTTTCGTTTTAAAATTGTCCTCGTAATAATCTGATTGTAAATAAAAGTTCATTATTTGTTTTGATAAATAGCTTATCGATTAAAACAAATATTTAAAAATAATTAAATCGCGCTAATTAAAGTAGTAGTTGAAATTAGCACTAAAAGGCTAATAGGGGCACCACCCTACAAAGCGTGAATATAAAATTTAAATCAGGTGCGTGTAATCACTCCTTCCCCGGTCGAGCCGACCTTCGTGCTACAACTATACTTCTAATATAATTGCATGGTTCTACCACGTATAAACGACATGCTTCATTTTTTTTCATTTTAAAATTGTTCTCGTAATAATCTGATTGTAAAAAAAAACGTGAATTTTTTTGATAAGTAGCTTATTGATTAAAACAAATGTTCAATAATAATTAAATCGCGCTAATTAAAGTAGTAGGAATGTTTAAAGTTGAAATTGGCACTAAAAGGCTGGTAATGGGGGCATCCACCCTACAAAGCTTAAATATAAAATTTAAATCAGATGCGTGTAATCACTCTGGGAGCTTGTAGCAAACTAAACGCGCGGCCAACGTGTGGACGCGGCGACCAAACTCTGCCAACAATCCTTTGATCTTTTGTAAAAAACCGACACCACACGGATCTCGCGCCAACTTGCGGGCCATCGTTCCAATACATACCAATGAAGCCCAAACACCCCGTCTACACGTTGGCCAATGCTATTGGCCACTACATTCGCCACTGTGTTGGCCAACGTGTAGAGGCGCCGTAAGCGTTGAATGTCGTCTACAGTGTCCTGGGACAATGCAGGTATCGGGCCTCGGGGTAACCCCCATTGCCCGGGTGTCCTCATATCCCATTACTATGGGACAGTCCTTTAGCCTATTTTAGGC